TAGTAAAGATTGAAGGATTTCATTTTGGTTCTCCAAAGTAGAAAATCTGTTGACCACCTAATTGGGTTTCGCACCCATCATGCTTCTTGTAATTGTTTAATTTATTCATCAATATTTAATTCCATTAATACACATATCAGTCGTGAATTTGGCCATACATATTTATTATCATTTAAAAATTGATTAGATTTTTTATTGGTACTTTATATATATTTTTTGTGGTTAATATTTTTTTATAATTTTTATTTTTAATTAATATTTTTTATAATTTATAAAAAAAATATTTAAATTATCAATAAAATTAAAATATAAATAAAAAATTAATATTAATTTTTATATTTTTATAAATTTTAATATTAATAAAAAATAAAAATTTTAGACAATATTAATTATAAAAAAATAATATATATTATGCAAATAAAGAGTTTAACCTAAAAACCAATCCTCAACACACTCCAAAAACTTATTAAATGAAAACGGAGTACTACTCTTTTGATGACAAATAAGTAGAAAGAGAACCATAATATTTATCAGAATCACCTGGTGGCCAGTGTTGTCGATGATCCGGTTCCCTGTCCCAAAAGATCATGTATTGAAAAACAGAATAGAAACCCAAGGTTGACCGTAATGCAGCATAGAGAGAAAGGTGAGTTAGGACTTAGGCATGTTTCCTCGAGCTTTCTCTTCTACCCTTTTAAACCCTGAAAAAGCAATTCATCGCGCACACAAAAGAGAATCGAACCAGACGTTAAAAGGGAAAAAAAAGGTATAAAACGCCCGGAAATGGAAGAAGAAGAAGAAGAAGAAGAAGTTTTTCTACACAAAGTTGGATATATAATAATTTAAAGAGCGACAGGAAAGTTCATTGGTTATTCCTTGAAAATTTTTCTTTTTCATGTTGGAAAAATGGCTACAACTAAGGAAATTTTTTCTTTTCAACGAGTACAAATTTGGGGGAGGCGGATATGAATCCGACACTAAAGTTAAATATGCACCTTTGACAAAGACCTACAGCCAATTATTCTTTTAGATGCATCTGGTACTTTGGGTCAATTGGTATCCCGTAAGTTTAAGATGCATTTTTTTTTTTTATGGGCGGGTTTTGATCTCATTCCTTGACAATTTTTTCAAAAAAAAAAAAAAAATTAGTCTTTTAGACAGGTGAGGAATTAAAGAAATTAGAAATACAATGAACAAAACAAAGTAGAAGACCCTCTTCGGTCTTCGGTCTTCGGTCTTCTCCTCACGTCGTTTTAGATATTGTGGCCAAATTCAAAGAAAAACAAAATTAAGGGACTGCCACGTTTCTGTTGCAGGCAACTTGCTTTGACCCTTTCCGACCCGTAATTACAGGGAAGGAGCTTGAAGAAAATTTAATGGAAGGGGGACCAAAATTTTTTTTCTAGCACATATAAATTTGTTGTTTTTGCTCAAGTTTTGTTATAAATGATTTTTTTAAATTTCAAGATGAATAAATATTTTTTTCTTTAATGCTGTTTTATTTTTAAATTCAATATTTTTTAAATATTTTTTAGTATATTTTATAGTATAGGTTATAGGATTGACTTTTACTAAATTAAGAAGGGATTACCCTAAAAAATGGAAATTGACTTAAAGATAAGTTAACTATTAAACCAAAAAAAAATTAAAAATAATAAATATGAGTTTGTTAAAGCTTATATAATAGTATGTAAAATTAACTAATAATGAAATATCAAACTAATTAAATGTCTCTACGAAAGAATTCAAAACATAGTACACAAAATAAAGTGTAGTAGAAAAGTGCATCTAACTGAGTTAACTAATCAAGTAATTCATCTGCATAACAAAAGGAAATTTTACTCCATACATCATTATTTGAAGATTAAAAATAATCAAAATTTCTCAATTATGCCACTATCAAATACTAAATTATGATATAAATACAAGTAAATTCCAGTATTGTAAGAAACATAGCTATTTTTTAGCAATAAAACAAATATGGAAACTACAAAGATAAAAAATAGATTAAACATATTAATTTTTTTCAAAATCTTAGGGGGTCATGGCCCCCCTTAGCCCTAATGAAGCTTTGTCCTTGCATAATTATTCATTATAAATGAAAATATTTTTTTTGGGGCCAAATTATAGATGAAAATACTGTAATTTTAGTTTTATTTATGAATAAGGATTCACTTACATACAAATTTTACACATTATATTTATACAAAATCTTAATAATTTATTTTTTAACTTTCAATAGTTCAAATTTATCATGACTTTTTAGATAAATAAATAAATAATTTTAATAAATATGATAAAAAGTGAATAAATCTCAACCATTGAAAGTAAGAAGATGAATGATCAAAACATTGTATTAGTGTGATGTGTAAAACTTGTAAGTAAGTAAATCCTAACTTTTTTTTTATTATTTCTTTCCTTTAATAAAAGAAAAGGTCCAAAAGGATATATATATATATATATATATATATGAAGAAGTCTCTAGCCAAGTTATCAACTTACAGAAATCTTCAATCACATTTAGTTGCAATGTCTAACAAGGATTGAGGGATAGTATCTCGTGTATTTTGCACATGATAGAGGCTGAACAACCAGGGCAATACCTTGGCTTTCCAGCACTTGTGGATCATTCTAGAACAACTACTTTTGCCATCTTAAAAAGCAAATTCTAGAAGCGAATTAGTGAATGGAGGGAGAACAACCATTATCAAGAGCTGGTAGGGAAATCTTAATAAAGTCAGTGTTGCAATCCCTACCAACATATATTATGGGGTTATTTCTTCTTCCCACTGGACTTTGTATAGACTTGGAAAAGATTATGAATAGGTACTGGTGGGGGGTGAAGAGGAAGAATACAAGATACATTGGCTAGAATGGCGAAGAATGGCTATTCCAAAGAAGGATGGAGGTTTGGGGTTCCGGGCAATGCATGAATTTAATATTGCAATGTTAGGAAAACAAGGTTGGAGACTCTTAACTAATCTAGACTCCCTAGCAGCAAGGCTTATGAAGGCCAAATACTATCCCAGAACTGATTTTTTACATGCTCAAGTAAAGCCTACATGTAGCCTTACATGGAGGACCATTTAGAACTCTATGGATCTGTTGAAACAAGGTTGCTGGAAGCTTATAGGAAATGGGCTCAATACGCTGATATGGGGTGATCTGTGGCTCCAGAGAAACTCCCAATTCAATGTCCAATCACCAAAGCCTACTGGATGTGAACTTCGTTATGTTAG